TGATCATATATTAACTTGTCAAGACACTTGATCAACGTGCCTTTAATCAAGACTATTGATATTCTCTGCGATGATCTATCCTTGAATATTCGTTCTTTCCTCATCCATCCAAAATCTTTGAAAGAGCTATTACTACTATGCACCGATAAAGTTCACTTCACTTTCGAAGGTGTCGTTATGTGCAGTCACTTAGGTGTCAGTGTTAACTGATGTCTATGTGTCACATGTAGAACTTTTCGCTGAGAATATAATCAACAAAGTCCCTCGGTACAGGAGATATGTTGATGATATCTTAGTTAGATGTAACAAACGTAAGGATGAGAAATGTTTTCTAGATCGACTTAACACCCTACAAAGTCATATTAGTTTGTTGTGTGAAGTAGAAAACAATAATCAACTTCCTTTTCTTAACTAGGAAGAAAGATGAATGGATTAAAAGATCAGTGAATAGAAAACCTTCATGAACTGGACAGTACCTAAACTTTCATAGTTTCTGTCCAATACAATATAAACGAGGTTTAGTAAATTGTTTATTTAAAAAGAACCCAAAACATATGCTCAACATATACATTGAAAGAAGAAATCAAACTCTCTAAAGAGTCACTCATGAACCACCTAGATCCACTGAAATTCATCATTCGTTATAAAAACGTCTCAACGGTGCAAAATAATCAGTATCCTATCCTGAAGAAGGACGTCTGCATCAAGCTACCGTACAAGGGGGAATCAAACAGTATGCTCTTAAAACAAAGACTGAATTTGATAGTGTAATACAAACAATAACACTAAAACTGTACCCGTCACACAAGAGGTGGCTATTGTGGCTCGGTGGTGTAGTGGAAAACGCATTGGCGTTTGAAGCGGTCGCTTCGGGATCCGAGTCCTGGTGGGAACAACATCACTCACTGGGAGCCAGCCGGTAGATCCAGCTGACCGGTGAGTCCCAAATAGGACGAAATGCAAGTCTTGTATTCCACTGCTAGCCACTATCCATCATCACTAAATAGTTAAATACTTAATTCAGTTATTAAAAGGACATACTACACAACTAAGCTCAGTATTTTCGAGAAAATGAAACATATGCTTCAAAATAAACCTCATCACTTCATAAGCAATTGTGTCACATCCCGCTGTGTATACCAATTCACATGTGTGTGTCCAGTGTCACGTACCCTGAGAGGAGTAATGGAAGTATGTAATCGAGAGTGGTGGAGCATATCCCTAAATGGTTAGAAAATCAACTATACTGAAATAATCCAATGAATACAGGGGGGCAGATAAACGTCATTGTCAGTAAGTAAACACACTATAGAAACAAGTCAAATGACTGACCCTAAAATAACCTTTAGACCATTGTGTAGGAGCCATCAAGATAGTATACTTAAGTTCACTGAAGCCTTAACTATACGAAAGTTCAAACCCACTTTTTGTATTCAAAAACGATTTGTCCTTATCCTAAACCTACTCTAGTAATCTTTGTCTCATTCCCATGGTTTTTATGGCCGATTAAAACCAGATGGAGAACCATTAAAAATCTGGGAACATTGAACATCTGTTTTGTTGTTGCATACGATTCTACGGTAGTTTACACCAACACATCTTTGAAATGAACTTCTAAAACTTTTTATAAGGAATCACCTATGAAGTAAACTATTTTGAAAGTAAAGAGAAGCGCTGTATCATAAATTGACAGATGTAAGTGAATGTGAATCTTCGGATTCAGATGCAATGTCTTTGTAATAATATTGTCACCATGAAACCTGACGGTCATAGATGAGTATTGCTAGTGAGATCCGTAGTAGAATAAAGCACCTACTAAGTAATCTCAGGTTCTCACTGATGTAAGTCTACGATGAATCAATCAACCAATCCCCACAAACCTCTAAATCAAAATATATAACTTTTAAAACTGATTTAAGTATCAGATATAATGTTGACAAGCCTTTCTGAACTTCCGCAAACTATTCCTTGTAAATACTGCCTTATAAACTAATTTAGAAATAGTATTCATCATGGGCTGACATCAGTTGGGGAACCATTGGAAATCTGTGAGCACTGGACAGCTAGCTGTCTCGTCCCACTATGGGACTCCTCAGCAGTACGCACCCACAACCTTGTCACGGTTCGAAAGCGAGTCCTTCAGGTTTCACGGCGAATGCGTTGACCATTCAGCCACTGGGTCGGTTTCCGGTGGTTCACAATTTCTAACTTCTGTCAATTCAAGACATAGCCCGACTATCACCCAAGGTCTTCAGTTGGCATCCACTTCACTTCCGACTGGTTAACCCCACAGGTCACGGCTTATCATTACAGCTTCGTGATATCCATTTGGAAGTAAGTCACTAATGAGCACTATACAGTAATGGTTAATGCGTTCGACGTGAAACCTGAAAGTCATGACTTCGATCCCTAGCCGGGTAATGGCTGCGTACTGCTGAGGAGTTTCATACTAGGACGAAAAAGCTGTTCAGTGCTCCCAGATTTTCAATGGTTCCCCAAATTATGTCAGTCCATGATGAATACTACTTCCAAATTAAAAAATTCCCATCTATCTCAAAAATACACCATAAACTAATTGTTTTCGGTGTCAAACTAAACCATTACAGACTTAATGATTAGTGTAAAACAATTCATCACAGACTTCCCTAATATTCATTAACAGTATTGGTCATTATATATGTCTGTAATAGAAGTAAAGTACATGATGAAGAGGAGAAATATGCGATTTATCAAAAACAGATTAAGCACAGTGAATTAACCACTTCACGTATTGATCTGAGAATTAAACATGAACTTCTGACGAGTTCTTAGACTCCACTTTTCAGCTTTCCTATGATTCACGTGTTCTCAATAATAATAATAATAACTGTTTGAAAGCTATGTCAAAAGAAACCTGTATAACCGAGTTAGGAAGGAAGATGAAGAGGCAAGACAAGTAATGGATCTCCACGAATGCATGGAAGCTGATAGAAGAGAGGACGATGATGAGGCAGAAGGTGAACCAGTGTAGTGTAGGGATGAACAACGAAAAAAGGAACTGAACACAACCTATAAAACACTACACTGGACAAAGAAGTGAAGAATAGTACGCGGAAAGACAAATGACACTTCCACGACACACTTGCATGTGAAGCAGAACAGGCTGCAGGTAAGAGAGGCCTGACAACATTATATCAAATAACCAGGTTACTATCTGGGAGGGAAGAGATCAACGAGGACGAAACCAATGAAGGATACTGAAGGAAACTTAGTTATGGAAGAGGAGAAACAAAGGAAACAATGGGCTGACCACTTCAAAAAGCTCTTGAGTCGACCTTTACCACCACCTGCAACTCGTCAGAAATACCACCAGCAGCGGCAGAACTATCAGTGAACACAGGCCCTCCGACAAACGTCGAAGTTACTGAAACCCGGAAAAGCAGCAGGACCAGATAGAATTCCCCCAGAATCACTGAAAACAGACGCAAGGACAACAGAGGACATGCTCACACCACTATTGAAGAGCTTTGGAAGGAAGGGAAGGTACCTATCGATTGATCAGAAAAGGGGTACCTTGTTAAACTCCCAAAGAAGGGAGACCTAAGTCTTTGCAAGAACTGAAGAGGATCATGCCTCTGTCTATGTCCACCTCAAGCAAAATACTAAGCCGCATCATCCTGAAGGGACTAAAAGATGTGCTGGATTCAAATTACTACCGGAACAGGCTGGACTCAGGAAGAATAAATCACATGCGGAACAGATTCCAATGTTACGCTAAGCACCATCATAGAACAGAGAATAGAATGACAGTCAACTCTCTACCTCAACTTCATTGACTTTTAAGAGGCCTTGGACAGCGTCCACCGAAAAGTAATTTCGCAGGCAGCTGCTTCAACACTACCGAATACCACAAGTCTGCATCAAATTCATTCAACAACTATACGAAGACGCCACATGCCAAGTGATCCACAATCGAAAGCTGAGTGACATCTTTGAAGTAAAGATAGGAGTAAGACGAGGCTGTCGCCTACTATCACCCATCATCTTCCTGATTGTGATGAACTGTGAGAAGATGGGCATACGCTGATTGACTGATGAGAAGGACCCAGAGGAAGATTTGAATTTCGCCAACGATGATGATTTATGTCTAATGTCTAATGTCGCACAAACTCGAAGATGTACAGGTGAAAACTAACAGGTTGACAGAACAGGCAGGTCAACCAAAGAAGATGCGACTTCAAGTGAATGTAGAGAAGATGGAGGTGATGATGATAACCAACCAATAACAGCATCATCAACAACGACAACAAACACCAATCATCAATAATGGGAGAAATCTGAACGAAGTAGTCTCTTTCATCTACCTAGGCAGGCAGCATCGTGTCAACTACAAGAAGTGGCACAGGCATACACGAGGATGTGAAAGCAGCCAGGATGGGAAAAACAACAACACAGGCTTTTATTAATCAGTCAGTCAATTCACTGCTTCTATATGGTTCATTCAGAGAGTTGACGTGTCACAAAAAGCATTTCCAACAAACTACAGACATTCATCATCATCAGTTGCCACCTACTGTCACTCGATAGTGAAGATGGATATGAGATGGCCAGAATAATAAGCAACAAGCAACATGGAACTCCGACTGGCTGGTAACGAGGCAACCAAGAAGCTATCACCCAATAGATATGCAGAAGAAGGGAGTGTAGATGGATTGGATCGGGCATACACTGAGAAGACCATGTGGGGACATCACATGTCAGGCCAGGCAGTCGAGTGAAACCCAGATGGGAAAAAATGACGAGTTGGGCGTCGTAGGTGAGGGTGACGTGAAAGAGATGGTGTGAGGATGAAATGAATGCATGTTGACAGTTTTAGCGCCAGGTTGAAAAGATCGCAGAGAAGAGAGTGCAATTGATGCATGCTAATGGTGGCGTATATTCCACTAGGAATTAAAGTGAAAACAATAATAATAATAATACTATTAATGATGGTAAATATGATATATGAATCAATGACTTACTCCAAGTAGTTTATAATGATTATATGTGGCAATATTATCAAATAGTATAACTTTATGATTTTTCTCTCCACTAATATATTGTACAATCACTTTTAAACAAGGAAATTTTGAACGATCTTTTGAACATTTATTTTCACATTTTACATCTGTTTTTACAATATGAGCATGTACAAAACTACAATTTGTATGTGTAAATGCTGATTCATGTAAATATGGTTGTACAACTAAATGAATTAATATACATTCCACAATAAATGTAGTTGTTATCACTGTAGCACATGTTAAATAAATTATCTTAATAGTATTTATTTGATAAGATTCTGGTAATGAAAGGCATATCTGTTTACTTGTCATTATTTGCATTTGTTTACTACTAGATATATCTGATTTTATATAATTCTTTTTAAGAATAAATCACGTTTTCTCAACTTCGACATTATCTATTTTTACTCGGATTTCTTAAAACCAACTAACCATATATATATATATATACTGAATTCAGCCAATCAGAAGTTCCATAGATTTTCATGCATTCTGATTGGTTAGTTTAGACAAGTTGTCTATATTTACATAATCTCTTCAAGTTTTTATCTGTTGAACATCGAACGAATAATTTTAATTCTTTACATTCTTATCACATGTTGACAAGTTGTAATATTTTTTTTAGAAGATATTATTCATAAAATCCTTACATATTCTTAGATGAGGGATCAAAGAATAATATGAGTAGGTTGGTCGAATAATTCTATCCAATAGAAAACAACGGAGAATATATCAGTATATCAGGAAGTAATAATAACTAGTCCTTGTTGTACAAGAAGTGGCTATTGTCCCTGCATGATATAGTGAATCGATGGGTACGAGGTTTGAGTGTCAGTGGGGTGCAGGTACACCCAGCTGATGAGTCTCATGTAGGACGAAACGAGCGTAGGTACGCATTGCCGATTAATTTCAAGAAGAAAGAAGTGTAGATCAAGTTAGGCTTCTTCGTGTATCCAGTCTTAATTAAGGTTGTAAGAATAAAATATGCTTGATTTCTGATTGTCTCTGAAACCACAAAGTTGGTTTTCCAAAATTAATTAACAGGTCAAGTTGGTATTCATCATAAATTGACATACTGTTACTTTCTTGTATGGAACTCCCCAATCCTATCAGGGATTGAATCAGTGGGGTTAGGTGAGTCGAACACGGAGATATTTACTCAACGACGGCATTGCATGGAGGTCGAACTATAGTGTAAACTGACGAAATTAGGAAATATGGACCATGAAGGGATCATGGGTGCTCACTGTTGAGGAATCTTGTACTAGGACAAACAGCTGTCGAATGCTCCCAGATTTCCAGTGTCTTTCCTGTCGACTTTCTCTGTTGACTAACTTCATCAATTTTATCGTATCTACTTCCTGTCTTACATGGGAGCCTTTGTTCTACTGAAAAACAACTAACGAGGAATAAACAAAGTGGGATAAACATTTCCTTGCTCTACTCCACTTTACTTATTTGTTCATGTCCATAAAGGAAAATAGTCATTCAAGTATTCTGTCTTGAACACTGAATGTCGAAAATTCAAAAGCCAAATAATCTTGAAATAGTGGAGAATATTTGTAGCTCAGGTGGATGCTCTTGGTACTATTGTGTTCTCTCAGCTGCACTGTTTAATCGTGAAGCTTTCATCGTCTCCCTTCTAGACGACATCACCAACATTAACTTCAGTATGAAATAATCAGCTGTGAATATCTCTCCGTGAGTGATTTAGAAGCTTGTCTTGACAAAGTGGTCTGTGATCGGTTGATTCCTTTGATTGTTGTGTCATTGACTGACTGTATAGACTTTCCTGTTGACTATTCCTCTGCTTCACCTCTCACCTTTCTGTCGTTCATCATTTTTCTCATCGGTTGATAGATTGGGTCTATGTGTATACATCCGTTGATTGCTAACTGATTGACCTGAATGCTAAGCTTCTAGGAATTCTTCGATGATATTCTTCGTGTTTCCTCTCTCCGTCCAACATTTCTAAATTGTCGAAATTGAATTCATGTTCATAGTTGTCATCCATGTGCATTGGAATGAGTAATGAAATGTCGTGTGTGACGTTGAATAGTCAATCGGTGTTCATGTAAATGACGAAGACGAAGGTGGAGACCACTTTGTCCAATGTATAGTGTTGACTACAGTTATTGAAGTTGATTTTGTAAATGATATTCGGTTTGTCTGTCTTCTTTGCTTGTTGCATCCCCTTTGGTCTGCATAATAGTGTTTGGAGGGAATTTGTTGGTTTGTGAATGGCCACACCAATTCCGAGTGGTTTGCCTCAGTAATCTTGTCATGATCTCCGATATATTCTTAATGTATGATAGGATGATGTGTTTATTGATTTTTGTCGTTGACTTTGTAGTTGATGATGTGCGGGATGGGCATCATGTTGTGATGAAGTTTGGTGGGTAGGTGTTCTTCTTTAGAATGGACATTGAGTAATTTTGTTTGTTTCTCCTTGAAGTTGTTGTACTGCAGTGCAGTGTGTTCTTGCTCTTCTGAATAGAGTCTGCACGTAACTGATTTGATGTTGTTGGGTTGTTGCTACTGTAGTTGAGGACTTGGTCAGTGTGTGTTGGCTTCCTGTACACTTGAGTTTCCAGCTTTCCCGCATTTGTTCTACTGACTGAAACATCCAGGAATGGTAGTTGGCTGTTCAGCTCCTTCTCCATTATGAATTTGATGTCATTGAAAACATTGTTGATCAAACTGTGGGTGTTCTCTATATCATCTTTTTAATGATGACAATAATGTCGTCCATATAGCGAATCGAAATTTTTGGTTTGATCACAGGTAGGATGATGGATTCCAGTCTCTGCATCACTGCTTTTGCTATTAATCCGGATATCGGTGATCCCATTGGAGTTCACTTCATCTGTTTGTATATCTTGCCGTTGAACTGGAAGTAAGAAAGAAAGATGATAAACGAAAGAAAGGTAGAAGGTTAGACAGAGTAACAGCCAACAGGAAAGTCTACACAATCAATGACAAAACAATCAGAGAAAACAACCAATCACAGACCACATCGTCAGAACAAGCCACTACATCACTCACGGAGAGATATTGACAGCTCACTTCATACTGATGTTAGTGCTGATGATGTCGTCTAAAAGCGAGATGATGAAAGCTCCACGATTAGCCAACCCAGCTCAGAGAACACAATACAACCAAAGCCAAAATTTTCTAAATCAATCAGGTGGCTGCAAGATTGCTATATATTCTTAAAATTACCTAACTTCTGCGTGATATTTGCTTGTAACCTTAAAACTACTTTAATCACTGCTGTTTCGTACAGCGTTAGCGTTTCTTCTCCCACAGTTTCTGAAAGCTGAACATTCAATGGTTGTTAAATATTTAACATATCAGTGATATATATATATATATATTCAGCATCACTCTCAACTGTTTTGACTATAGTTGAGACAGTAAAAGCTCTTGGTAACTATCCATCTCCTCCGTCTCCGTCTTCTCGTACCGGTGATATTGTTGTTGCAATGGTTCTGCTTCTCACTAATGATTAGAATAGATTCGGTTTGCGTTTTGGCTTTATATCACTCATAAACTGTTAGGTCGGACTATCGAGCATAGCAAAGACAGAACACTTTCTTCTCCAGTCAACATGTTTATGAACAAAATTTTCTTAAGATCGCTTACAGCTTATTTTTCCGGTTGTTATAGATTAGTTTTTTTCAGTGAATTTTAGGGGTAAACTTAATAGATTTTTCTTAGCCCTGTGTGAATAAACTGGATTTGTCTTTTATTTCTGAGGTAGTAAATTGCTGAAATTTTGATCTTCATAAGAGAAAATCCATGGCCTTAATTCAATGCAATACCTAACGAAGGGGGAAGTTAAAAGTAATGATGATAAAAACTGTACCAGCCTGACAAGGAGAAGCAATCGTGATTCGGTAGCTTAGCAGATAGTGCTATGAAGTTTGAAGCAATCAGTTCGTCATTTGAGTCATAGTGTCAACATCACCACTCCCTGGAGGGGGAAGGCAGGTACACATAAAAGATTCTATTGATAGCCCCCTTTCCATTGTTATTATCGAACTGAAATTACTGCAAATATCTTCTTTTAATAACCTCGCCTGGTTAACTAGTTCACTAGTCACTAACCGGTCGTAAGCCCGGGGAAAGAGGGAAGGTTGGGCATAAGGCTAGCAACCCTACCCCGGAAAACAAATCTAACCGCTAAAGAAACTTCAAAGCACAAACGAAATATAAAAAATAAAAACAAACTTATTCCTCGCTGGGATTGGAGAGGCGAAATGACGCCAGTTAGTGAAAGCCTTCGGGAAGCCAACTGGCCTATGTGTCACCTCTCCCTCGATGAAAGCGAAAGTAAACGTGGGGACATGGAATGTCCGCACGATGTTGGAACCCAGTAAGGCAACCCAGATTGCAAAGGAGATGAGAAGGTATCACATTGAAGTGCTTGGAATTTGCGAAAGTAGATGGAATGAGAGTGGAGTCTCCAAACTCTCAACTGGAGAATCAATAATCTACTCCAATATTGTCACCCAGACGACAGCCACGAGCACACTCAGGGAGTGGCTATCATGATGTCCTCAAGAGCATCGAAGGCTTTCATGCAGTGGGAACCAATCTCCTGCAGGATCATGACAGCAAGATTCAACTCAAAAGGAAAGGAGGTCACAATCATACAATGCTATGCTGTGCACCTACAAATAATGCAGAGCAAGAGAAAAAGGAGGATTTCTACAGACAACTTCAATCAACACTGGACAAGGCACCACTCAAGTTGGCGATATGAAAATTCTAATGGGCGACATGAATGCGAAACTGGGAGGGGACAACACAGGAAGAGAACTAACCATGGGTGGAGAATCGCTCGGTGAGGTGATGAACGAGAATGGAGAATTGTTTGCAGAATTCTGTGCATTCAACGATTTGGTGATTGCAGTGAGGCAGTGTGTTCAAGCGCAAGGATATCCACAAAGCGAGTGACATGGATTTCACCAGATGGACACCAAAAGTCAAATCGACTTTATCTCAATCTGAAGAAAGTGGAGACGCAGTCTACTTGACACAAGGTCAAGAAGAGGAGCAGATGTAGGTTCACATTACTATCTAGTGCAAGCAACCTACCTTCCAAATCAAGTTGAAAGACTTCAATTCAAGGAAGCTGGTGATAGACCTCAGTTCAAGTACAACACTCGGAAACTGAAGGATGAAACTACAAAGGAGATCTTCAAGGCAGCCATCAAGACAAAATGGGAGACATCGAGCAACATCCCTGAAGAAACCTGTGTGGAAGAACACTGGAAATCTTTGAAAGAGATGTGGAAAGAGACCTGCACAACCGTATTAGGAAGGAAGAAGGAAAAAGACAGGGAATGGATCTCAACGGATACCTGGAAGCTGATAGAGGAGAGGAGGATGGTGAAGCAGA